CAAAATGTAACATGCATTCCCTTCAGTAGATAATTAAAGTTACATGAGGTCATAAGGGTGGCACATCCTAATCCAAGAGCTGGTGTCCGTAGACAAAGTGGGGAAAGCTGTACGAGAAGACAGTGAGAAGGCTTCCTTGGACTCATGTCCTCACTCTTGACTTGTCCTCACAGGCAGACTTGGAATTTTTGTTTCTCAAGCAATAACGGGCAGGATTAAATCCCACCAACACCTTTCTTTAACGATTTCACCTCTGAAACCGGAAGCTCACCGTTGAGACGACTGAGTGCAGCAGTCAAACACAGGACTCTGCTTTCATTAGCGGTGCTCCCCACCAATTTGAGTAGTGGCCCTAAACGCATGCAATATGTTCGCACATACAAGCAGAGAAAGAAAGAACGCTGGAGTGTTTTCTAAATACTTTTGATAGATGCTGCAAGCATTTAGATTTATAAAAGGATAAGTTTTGTTATCAGCCATTTTTTCTATATGAAGGAACTCTACTAACAGATCTAAGGTACAACTTATTTTCTGTTTTTAGAGGACAAAGAATATTGAGAAATGAAAAAACAAAAAATAAATAAATTGTTACTCTCTCTGCTCAAAACCACACAAATCGTAGCCACAAAGTCATTTCAAATTTCTTGAAGTGGCTACATTATATATCAACTATAACTAGTAAGGGTTACACTGCATCGAACTGTGGTTGATAACTCAATAAAATGGGCATTTTTGTTAAACATTTACTTATATTCAGATCATAGTTAACGATTACCAGGTACAATTATTCAAAAATAATTTTTGTAAAAAAAATCTAAATGTATGTCAGAGCAAGATGAAAGGAAATACGCCATTCAAATTTCAACATTAACGTATCTTCCTTCTGTCCCCAAATTCAAGTCCCATAAAATAAAATCCATTATTAGAGTGAATACATCCATTCCTCTTGTATGTTTCCAGAAAAAACTAAAAAAAATATCAATGTGTCTGTGGGGGTGAAAAAGTATGAACTGTATTCTTTTCAGGGTCTCCATACTGGTGAAAATATTTCACAATCTACCTAAGCATGGCTAGAAACCATTTCTAATGTGTTTTTGTTCCTTTAGACCCACAAGCAGAAAAATTGATCAGTTGATCTCTACCATCAAAAGCTTACCTCAGGGTTTAATTGCATACAACGTCTAGTTAGGCAAAGAATAAAGTAAGCAGCATAAAACCATATACATCATCTTTCTATAACTTCATCTCTAAGATGCAGTTTTCTAATTTCCTAACACAAAAGAAAAAAGAGTAAGGAAAACCATTAAATAATCAAGGCAAGGGCCTGGCAGAGTTCATGGTCAGTGAACGCACTGGAAGTCAGTGTGTTTGCTCCCAACATCCTATGAGATTCCCTAGTGCTAAGACTGCAGTAGTTAAGAGAAATGTACAAAATTAAGTTACCAGATCTGGAACTTTGTACAATAATTTTATGGGAGGACAGTATAAACAACTACTGAAAGTAAAGAAAACAGCATGATGGGAATCTGTGTGGGGTTCTTAACAGAGTGTTCAACATGGAAGACCTTTAGCTGCCAAGAACACACTGCCAGCTGAATAAAAATTATGTGAAGAACATTTTCAATAAATGAAGTGTATAATAAGAATATGCAGTTTCAGGAAGAGAGGCCACAATATTGCTCCATACGGGGAAGGGTAGCAAAGGAAAATGAAGGACCTACACACTTGCCAGGGTTTCTTCCTTGCAGTGAAAAACACTGGAGTTCACTAAGAGATTGTGTAAGATAACAGTGAAAATAGTTAAACAGGTGTTGATTTGTGAGAAAAGCCAACCGATGGTAAGTTCCTTCTGAAGGATGTGTATGGCTTTTTTTTAATATGATGCAAGTTATAATAATTACTATAATCAATTATTAAAAGTTTTGAAAAATTGGGGTGAGAAAATAATGAGTCACCGCATAGTGGAAACACATGAGGAGGTGAACTACTGGGTAACAGGATATGTGATTGCTCAGTGATTTCTTACTGTTTTCAAGAGAGGCTGCACTCTCTAGAGTGCACTCATACTAGGTATGAGACATCCCACTGAGGCAGGTCCTCTCCAACAACTGATGTTTCTGCCAGCCATGCAGTTACCAAGTGTGCAGCTTTAGGCAAGAATTCAATCTTACTTTTTTGTTTTCCCCAGATCTGGTACAGAATCAGAGTCCAAGAAATCGTTGGTGAGTAAAACTGAAGTGAAAGAACCTAAATTTGAACCTAGATAGCATGCTGTGGTTTTCATTTTACATTTCACCCCTGTGTCTTTTTCCCCATCTTTCCATTCTTCTACACTGCCTTTCCGACTATGTTAACGATTACAAGCTTTGTCTACATAAACTCATAAAAATAAGAGTGACTATTTCTAAACAAGAGTCCACATCAAACTTTGAGAAAACACTCATCATATTTGATAAACCTTTGTTGATTATAAATAAATGAATGACTATAGGAGAAGTGAAAAAATATATATATATACTAATATGAGAAAGCTGATTCTTTTCATTACCAAAACTAAATTTCCAAATTTAGAAGAAAGAAGTCCAAAAATCAGCAGATGTTGAAGTGTAAAAACTAAAATTAAAAAAAATACTGAAAAATCTTAGTCATTTGAAGTTCCATAAGCCGATTATGAGTTTTTCAGCTGACTCTATAATGGGTTTGAGAAGCATGGTTGCAGTTTAAGCCAAAGGCTGATTTAAAGTCTATAATTATCAGTTGCTTAGAAAGGAATTAACTTACCTTGCAGACCACATAATATTCTTGTGACTTCCATTAAGAATTACACAGAGAATGAATGAATGGTAAACTATTTATAGCATGTAAAACTTTCTCCAGGACTGATCAATAATAAATTAAAATTCTGGTTGAAAATGGAGACCAGCCAAGCAAGAAAGACTAGGAGTATTACTAAGCCTTAAAACAACCCTTAGTAAAGCAGCATAAATACTAAAAACTGTCAAGAATTGTAATAAACTCTACCAGTATTTTACCAGAAATGCATTTTATTAAGTGTGAAAAAGTATATGTTTTTATCCATTCTCATAATTTCATGTTATAAAAGAGACAAAAAGTTTATGGGGAAAAATTTTTCTCAAAAGTGGTTATTGACAATACTGCTAAAAAAAGCTTCCAAAGGGTTTCTTCTATACTCAGGAACAAACATTAGCATAAGGATTCCATTTATCCAAGCCACGCAAAAGTTGGCAGTAAATTATGGAGTTAAATTTAGGTTAGGAGATGCCTACAATGATTAAAGTATTTTGCCATTTTCCTAACAATTAACAACACTAAGTAGAAATCAATTTGTAACTGGAGAAGAGAGTGAGTAGTAAACTAATTACCAAAGTCAGTTGATATATATAAGCATTGTTACTTAATCCAGAAATTCTATATGTTGTAATTTACCTACTACTTACATGTGTGTGTATATATAAACATATAATCAGCTAAATTTATAGAGCAATGGTGTTCATTCTCTTAATTACATGATTCTTAAATAACATGAATTTACTTGCAAATGTTTGCTGAAACAGATTTTAAGGTTAGTAACATTTCTTCAAAATTATGTTTTATTGCATGAAAGTCAGGCTTTTTTCTATTGTTTGATTTATATATTTTTGTTTTTGCATTTAAAACTAATTGGGTAGGGTATTCCAGTACAATTTTAAAACCTGGTTACCTAAATAAGAGATATGAATTGAACTAGGTCTGACAATATCAAATTAATAATTCTTGGTTAAAAAGAAGGTAGGATAATTCCAATAATAAACTGCTTATGTTCTGAAAAAGTAAATACAATATTACCTCTGGCCAATTTGGTAGCATTTGTTTAACTGTTATTCCAAATATTATAGGAGTTATCTGAGAATGTTAATGTGAGGACCTCAGGTACATAACTTTCAATTAACATGAGTTTCTGGTCCATTACGTGAAAATACAAGAAAAACATATACTGGTTCATTACAGAGAGAACATACACAAGTAGTATTATATATTTATGCCCCAAAAGTACCCTTTTTTGGTAAAAAACATATAATTTACCACCTTAACCTTTTTAGCTGTATAATAGTGTTAACTATATGCATACTGTTACATAACAGACCTCTTTATCTTGCAAAACTGACGTCTTCATCTTGCAAAACTGAAACTTTAGATCCATTGAACAACTCCCTTTTCCTACACCCTCCGAAAAAGTATTTTTTTTAATGTATTTAGAGCTTAGAAAATTTCTAAACAAAGTATCATGGATTCTTATTTTCTTACGATCATAGTATCCCAATAAACGGAGCGTTATAATAGATATCACTGTAGTCAACATCAACTTATCCTTCACATATATTTGCTATGTCTTTCTGTTTTTGTAAATCATATTTAGAGACCTGTCGATTCTCAGAGAGTATATAAGTCGCTAGTGTAAATTAGTAAGCAAGTTCATGGGTCCACAGTATTTTCTAAAAAGGACCACAGAGTCAATATTTTAGGTTTTGTGGCCATAGCAGTTCTCTGTAATATTCAGCTCTGAAATTGTAGCACAAAAGCAGTTATGGGCAATACATTAAAACATGGGCATGACTGTGCCAATAAAAATGTATTTACAAAAACAGGTGGCAAGCTAGACCTCTCCTATGGGCCATAGTTTGCCAACTCCTGAAATAGATAATAAGGAAGAGAAGGGAGGGACAATGACAGAGAGAAGGAGGGCAGAGACAGGAACAAGAGTAGGAACAAGAGGAAATTGAATGAAAGTACTTATGGAGTATTACTTCTGAGAAAAAGTAGTTACTTAGTGGCACTGACATTATATGTTCTATTGATGAACTTTGATAGTGAGACCCAAGAAAACGGAGCAAATTTTTTCTTACGACTTGTTTCAATACTGACTGACCTATTGGCATTCAGTACATCAGCATAAATAATGAAAATATTGATCTCCAGTAAGTTCATAGAATTTGACTTACCTTAATAATGGATGGAATATGACGGTAATATTTCTGGCTCCAGGTTTGCAGACAAATTTTGTTCCTCCACCTTCAATTAAGTTGTCATCAGGACCCCCTTTTAGAAAGAAGGCGAGAAAGAGAGAGATTTAGCTCATTAGGATTTCTACAAAGAAATAAGCCAAGTCTATCTAGATAAATGAAGAACATCACTGAAAACAGTTGCCTTCAATACCTACAAAATTACTTTTAATGACTTGATCCAGTTTTCCTCATTAAATGAATTCTGGATTAGCATTTTCACTTGAGTGAGAATGTAAAAGCACATTAAAAATAAAAGGTCTGCTTAAACAAACAGTGCAAGTGGAAAAGACAAGTAGTGACTCTATAGCATCTTACTATGCTGGTGGACAGTGGCTGCAATGGGGGGAGGGGAGAGGACTTCATAATATGGGTGAATGTTGTAACCACAATGTTGCTCATGTAAAACCTTCATAAGATTGTCTATCAATGATACCTTAATAAAAAAAACAGAAAACTGTAAACCAACATATCAAAAGAAAAGAAAAAAAAGAAAGAAACAGAGCAAGGGTTAAGGTCAAAATCTGGGTCTCTAATCACCAGTGTCTATGTCAGTACAGTACATGAAATTTTCAGGGGAAAGAAGGAGTACCATTCAAGGTTGCCCTGGACTGTCAAAATTGGAGCAGACCCATATAAACTGCGCTGATCACATTTCATCAAATCTAATACCCCACTAATTGTAAAACACACTATTGTTTTAAATAACACTAAGAAAAACAATTCTACTAATTAAACTTATAATGTCTCCATGTTACTTAGAATCTTTTTTTTCTGATTGAAAAGCTTCCTATAGTTTAAATATATAAAACTAGGTTACATAATTTATAAACAGATTTATATAAGATTTTTAAGGCTTTATTTAAGCTTTTTAAATAAACAGATGTTTACCACAAGTCTCTTACACACATTAAAAAAGAAAAATAAATTGATTAAGGTATTCTTAAAACTATGTAATATTCAAAGTCCAGCTCCTCTTAATGATTCAGAATTGTCAATATCCTTGTTTTCTAAACAATGTCACTTACTGGGTTTCTTCAAGTAGTGCATCCAGTATTTTATTCCAAGCTGCTGATACCCATTGTGTTTAAAGCTGGGATGTTCTTGATGCTATCAGAAGGTTTAAAGAGAAGGTGTTCCTGTACCAAGCGGGACTCACACTCTTTCCTCAAACGGTCCTATCCTCTAATGGTTCATTGATTGAAACACTGAAAGGTCACGGTGTGAGGAATAACCACTCAGCTCACGCATACTGTGGCAAAAACAACTCATTAGGACTGTCTCCAGTTGACAGCTACTAAGATGCTATTGATTTAAGATACATCCTAATTTTAGAGAGTTTAGAACAAGAAAAAATGTATGTTCTTAGGATGGTCGGAGAAATCTGCCCCTTCCCTCCCCTTTGCCACCACCGCCCCCACCCCCAACTCCTCTGTTTCTTTCCATTACACTGAACCTCCTTTATGTAATCCCTGGCCTCTCTCCATCTTTCACCCACTCCGGGGGAAATGAACTAACTACTTTGGTAAAATTGAGGGAAAAAGCTGGCATGAATGCCTCAGCAGCCCCCTTATTCCACTTTTGAAACATGAGTGCCAATATATAGTAAGTGTTACCTTGCTGAGTTTAGCAATAAAGGTCCTGCCTTGTCAGAAAGAAGCTCCAGCGCCTTCTGTAAATGGGCAAGGAGATGTGTGTAGATCTGGTGTTCAGTTAGCAAACTCGCCTGGCTCTCAAACCAGGCTGCATCCTTCAGTGTAGCTTATATTAACATGAAAGTGGTAGTTTGCCTGCCAGCTACCTTACTTATGCTATTTCTTAATAGTTTCAGAACTCGGACAGGAAGAACAGATGTTATTTAATGGGCTTCCTCGATAGCCTAACAATCTGAACTTATGGTATTTCATTTCTTTTTTTTTAATTAAAATTTTTCTTTCTAATTACACTTCTTTGCAGGATACCAAACACAAATAAATCTCACCTGATTTATTATCTATCTTAATGGTCTCTGAGGCTTCCTGGAAACTGACTGATAAAAACATGTGAAGCTTAAGAAATCCATACCCAGGATCACTGAGACTTCCCAAAGGCATCGGAGTCTAGACAAATCCATTTGGATCAGTTGTTTCCACCAACTAATCAGAGCATGGTTTTTCTTAAGGAAAAAAATAGAAAATATAGTGGCACGTACAGCTCTTGATTCAAAAAGATGTGCTGTCTTTTTTTTATTTGGAAAATAAGCCATCCTGTATTATTATATTTGCAGCAGAGATATTAGTGTTCTGCTCAGTCAGTGGTTTTGCTGGGTTAAAAGGAAAGCAAAAGAAACCTGCCAAAACTACCATAACTACTGTTCCTTTAATTAAAAATTCTTCTCAAAAGGTCACATGATATGGTTACAAACTAAAAAAAACCAAACCTGAATAAATAATCTGTTTTAGCAACATATCTCTAAGATGATAAAATCTAGTCAGTAATGAATAACCAAGGAAATGTGTGTATGTGTTAAAAACAACTGGTTATATTCTGCACTCTAGAAACAACATCAGTATCTTCTTATGAAATCAATTCTACATAAAAACATAATACATCCATCTACTGAATATGAGCATATCTTTTAAGGATAAATTTGAGTTGATCTCCAATGGTTTCTAAAAATTCTGAAGCTCTATGGTATTGGGCATTCAGTATTTGAATACTGACTTGAGTAACCTAGCTCCAGTCAAACTAGTACCTTAATGGACACTGAAAACATTGTATGCATGCATGCCCACCTCTAGGCCTTGGCCTAAACTGGGCTCCCAGCTGGAGGGCTGTGTCCCCTCCTACCATTCCTTTAGGCATCATGTCTAGCTTTAAACTGTCAAATGTCTCTCTCCCAATGTCCACGATTCCATTGACATTGACTTCATATGAAATAATCTATGTAACCTTAACATAGGCCACTTCTCCTATTGTCATTTGATTTCTAATGTTTATGCAACTTTTCCCCACCTGGGATGTAACTTCCTTCAAAGTGGTTATAAAAGTATATACTAGCTGAAGGAAGAAAGAAATGAAGACCTAACTTAGTAGAATGTTATTAAAATTAGATGATAAAGCATTATATTTTGTAAACCTAACCAATGTAAACAATTCTCTCTGTGTCAAAAACCTAACCAATGTAAGCAATTCTGTGTCCTTTCCAAAGGTAGTACGTGAGCTTCACAAACATTTGTTGATGATAATCATATGGGGAACACAGAAAACAGAAGATACATTATTACATATTATTAAAAGTAAGGCATAGGATCCATTAGAAATGTCAGTGAGAGGAAGATTTGGTTATGAATATGCACCAGGCTAGAAACTACATAATCATTTCATTGTTCTAAATTACTGACGGCTATGGAAAGATGATTATTGGTTCACACAGTGGGGTTAAACTAAATAAAAAGTGAAGTTTGGGCAGAAATATGAAAAAAAAGGACTTTCCTCCCAACCTCAACCCCCAACCAAAATTCTACCTACAGAAACCTCACATACTCTCCCCAGCCCCGTTACCAAGTGCCATCTACACTGTATTTGAAGTGACTTCCTCTTACCACAAGTCCAAATCTAGCTAGCTTACTAAATTACCAATAAACAGCACCAACCCAGTGAAAATATTCTTGAAAATAAAGCTGTCAGAACCAAAAGTTAAGGCCATGGCCGAAGACCATATGGTCTGTGAGGCTCTATCTTGAGATTTATTCTAACATTTCAATATTCTGGGTGAGGAGCAAAGCTTGCCTCTCCCCACATGCATTTCTGTAATCAAGTAACCTGGGAATTGTTGCCGTGCCATAAACATTCCCTAGGAACACATCCAACCCTGAGAAAAGCACAGAAAGGCCAGAGCCTCTCCATCCCCTTCATTCATTATGCTTACAGTCTAACCTCAGCTGTCAAAGGCCAAGTGATAGGCACCAGAAATGGTGATGGATAATTGGAAGGAAAGAGAAGCTGACAACAGTAGCACAGGTAGAATATAGATATTGTGTGGAGAGGAGGAGAACCAACCCAGTCGTATGTCCTGTTTCTAACAATGCACCAGGGCCACCCACTGACTGGGGGGATGATAGCATTTTAGGACTTGCAGGCTAGTCCCATCTCTTAGAATTCAGTTACTTGTAAGTAATTAGCTCCTAAGCTTATTTATTCCTTAGTTCTTCCCAATCAGAAGTTGATATAGTGTGTAATGAATATAGTCACCTTAATAAACAGAAATCCCAAACCAAAGCCTCAGAAAGAAATGGAAACAAATGTTCTCACTGAAAGACTACAGTACAGTGGGAAGAATGAAAAAGATCTGTGCTGGACCCAGATCAGCTACATAATATTTTAAAGCGTCATCAAATTAACTCTCTAAGCCTCAGCTTTCCCATTTATAAAATACATATTGCAATAAACTCTTTTGAAGACATGTGGTGATTTTTATGTGAGAAAATGTCCCAGAGGGCATTCAGTACAGTGTTGACACCCAGTAATCTCAAATAAGTGGTCATCTACTTTTCATGTTAGAATTACCAAGCAGTGAAGGATCTAACTGATCACACACACACACACACACACACACACACACACACACACACACACACACACACCATCATTATTCTTGCTGCTTCAGGCAAATTGTATAAGTCAATATCATTGAGACCAATTAAAACATGTCTGTCTTATTTGGGAAACAATATTATTGCAGTGCAAGGTTTAGGAAATTGCTAAGAACATTTATAACATGATAAAATGAGTCCCTCTCTACTCTTCTTTTTTTAATTAATCCATGTAAAATGTATAGATGTTAAAATTATGAATGCTTTGTGCCAAGTACTTAGATGAAAATATATAGAATATAAATGGTTATTTTTGTTGAGCCACAGAGAGCAGCATGCCTCATCTGATATTTTTTATTTGTCCTAGGTTTAAAGTTGGCCTTTCCACATAGAAAAGAACCACAGTGAAGGTGAATTCTTTTACAGCAAATATTTTGCTTCATAAATACTTCTAAGGATTATA